ATCCAGGTGTTGTGGCAGGCGCCTATGGTCCCAGCTACTCAGGAGGCTGAGGCAAGAGAATTGCATAAGCCCAAGAGCTGGAGGTTGCTGTGAGCTGTGACACCACGTATCTCAACCAAGGGTGACAAAGTGAGACTCTGTCTCTTTAAAAAAAAAAAAAAGAATGCAAGAATGGCTTCATTTAATCAGCTTATTTTAATACAGTCAACTATTGTCAGGTCAAAGGAGAAAAACTGAAATAAAGTCATCAGACATTGAAAGATCTGAAGAAACTCAGTGTCCTTAATATTTTTTGACTACCAGAATGAAGAATAAATCTAGTAACATTAGTATAAATAAAAGCTTATGGCTCAGCACCTGTAGCTCAGCAGCCAGGGCGCTAGCCACATACACCAGAGCTGGCACGTTCGAACAGCCCAGGCCTGCCAAATAACAATGACAACTGCAACCAAAAAATAGCCGGGTATTGTGGCAGGGGCCTGTAGTCCCAGCTACTTGGGAGGCTGAGGCAAGAGAATAGCTTAAACCCAGGAGTTGGAGGTTGCTGTGAGCTGTGATGCCATAGCACTCTACCCAGGGCAACAGCTTGAGCCTCTGTCTCAAAAAAAAAAAAAAAAAAAATCCCCTGTGATCATTACATTTCATTATTGAAGTCCTAGCTGATAGAAAAGAAACAGAAGAGTTGGAAAGAGAAGATAAATCATGTCTTGTAAGTGACATAATTCAGGCTAAGCTTGGTGGCTCACCCCTGGAATTGTAGCAGTTTGGGAGGCAGAGGTGAAGATTGCTGAGGCCAGGAGTTCAAGACCAGCCTGAGCAATATTGTGAGACCCCATCTCTATAGAAAAAAAAGAGAGAGAAAAAGTAGCCAGGCATAGTGGCATTTCTCCATAGTCTCAGGTACTCCAGAGGCTGAGGGAGGAGGATCACTTGAGCCCTGGAGTTTAAGGTTGCAGCAAGCTATGATGATAGCCACTGCTTTCTAGCCGTGGCAACAGAATAAGACCTTGTATCCAAAAAAATTATTATTACTTATTAATGCTACTGGTTACAAAAGTTACATGGTAAGTGTTCACTTAACATAATCCCTCAGGTTTTGTTTGTTTTTTGTTTGTTTTGTTTTTTGAGATGGAGTCTTACTCTTGCCCTGGGGTAGAGTCAGTGGTGTCATCATAGCTCACAGCAACCTTAAACTCTTAGGCTCAGGTAATTCCCATGCTTCAGCCTACACAGTAGCTGGGACTATAGACACCCAGAACAGTGGTTGGTAGGGTCTTGTTCTTGCTAAGGCTGGTCTCAAACTCCTGAGCTCAAGGGATTCTCCTCCTGTCTTGCCCTCCCAAAGTGCTAGGATTATAGGTGTGAGCCACTGCACCAGCAATCTATAGTTCTTGAAAACTGAATTTAAATGAAACAAAATTTACTGTGGACTACTTTATACAAGTAAGAGTTAAGTTTCTTTTTTTTAGACAGAGTCTCACTTTGTCACTGAGTGGAGTGCTGTGGCATCATAGCTCACAGCAACCTCAGACACTTGGGCTCAAGCAATTCTCTTGCCTCAGCCTCCCAAGTGCTGGGACTATAGGCACCCACCACAATGCCCAGCTATTTTTAGAGACAAGGTCTCACTCTTGCTCAGGCTGGTCTCGAACTCATAAGCTTAGGCAATCCTCCCACCTTGGCCTCCCAGAGTACTGGAATTATAGGCCTGAGCCACTGTGCCCAGCCCCAAGAGTTAAATTTCTACAGCATATTTCTGATCAAAGAAATATCACCAAACTTGTAAATAAAGACCCAAAACACTTTCAGTTTTTTGTTTTGTTTTGTTTTTGAGACAGCCTCAAGCTGTCCCCCTGGGTAGAGTGCTGTGGCATCACAGCTCACCACAACCTCTAACTCCTAGGCTCAAGCGAGTCTCCTGCCTCCGCCTCCGCCTCCCAAGTAGCTGGGACCACAGGCGCCCACCACAACCCCTGGCTATTTTTTTTGGTTGCAGCCATCATTGTTGTTTAGCAGGCCCGGGCTGGATTCGAACCCTCCACCTTAGGTATATGTGGCTGGTGCCTTAGCCACTTGAGCCACAGGCGCTGAGCCAACACTTTCAGTTTTAAACATTAAAATAAATGTGATATGGTCCTTTAAGTGACCTATTAAAAAATAAAATAAATGTGAGCTAGACAGACATTTAAGGAGGACTAATAGCCAAGAGCAGTGGCTCATACCTATAATCCCAGTGCTTTGGGAGGCTGGGGGTGGGGTGGAATTGCTTAAGGCCAGGAGTTCAAGAATAATCTGGGCAATACAGCAAGACCCCCATCTTAACAAAACAAATTTTAAAATTAGCCACATGTGGTGTGTAGCTATGGACCCACATACTCTGGAGGCTTGGGCAGGAGACTCACTTGAGCCAGGATTTCCAGGCTGCAGGGAGAGGTGACTCTACCTTTGCACGTCACAGAGCCAGACCCTGTCTCTAAAACATAAGGAAATAAAAGTTCACTAAAACAAGATAATTATTTACCCACTTACTCCAGTTCAAGATATCTGGCAGCCAGAGCCTCTCCTGGGCACAAGGCAGGTCCCAGCCCTGGCCAGGACACCAGCTCATGAAGGCACATTCTCACCCTCACTCAGTCGGACTGTGACGGGGAGACAGGCCAGTGAACCTCAAGTGCACAGCGTGGGGCTGGGGAGACTGGCAGGAACACATGCGGATGAGCCGCGCACGCTCCACATAGGAGCTGTCAGAAAGTGCAAGGGGAGGAAAGGGCCTGTGTTGTGTGTAAACAGTCGGAAGTGTCTCTTGGAAGAAATGTGTAGGGGACCCTATCGGGAAGACGGAAGGAGAGTTTGGGAGCTGAGAAAGCCGTTATGTCCATCACTGCTGAAAATGATGGAACAAATACTCAAATGTGGAATATTTGTGTATTATTCCATAGATAATAAAAATATAAGCAAAAAATGATGCATTGAAACCTGTGTGCGGCATTTACATTGTTTTAGGTGTTACAGATAACCTAGAGGTGATAAAAGTGCCGCAGCGAGTCCTGGGCATCCACGTCAGACACTGCTGTCTAAGGCTCCTGGACACAGTCTCCCGTAGGATATATAAAGGGACAGCCAGACTTCATTCTTGAATGAAAAGATTGGACCCCTAGATTAATTTCTAATTTTACATTAAATGCATTTCCAACCAAAGCCCAACTGATTTTTTTTTTACAAAATGATCTGGAAAAAATCAAAAGAAGCATATTCAGAGACTCTGAAAAAACCTACAGTAATAGCAGAATGACTGACATTAAAATTTATTTTAAAATACTATAATTAAATTGGAACTGTAGAGCATGAATCAGTAAGAAAAAGTAGAACTCACAGTGTCTATGGGAGGGGCAGAGGCCTTGCTGGGTTTGAGCCCCTCCTCTGCTTGTCATTCACTCTGGGGCCTTACACAAGGAACCTCGCATCTGGAAGACTGCAGGGCATGAGTTTGCATCAAAGAGCTCTGGAGCTGCTAAGTGAGGTGTCCACTGCCAGTTTCATGAGAAAGGTTCAGTAAATGCCAGTTGTTGAAAGTAACAGTAGGAGGTGATGAAGGCAGCTTGCCTAACTAGTTGAGAAAACAGATTATTTGGTAATTACTGTTTGGAATAATTGAAAGAGTTTTAAACAAGTTAAACTATAAAAATACAGTGAGAAAGCAAGGCAAGGCCGGGTTCAGTGGTTCACGCCTGTAATCCTAGCACTCTGGGAGGCTGAGGCAGGTGGATTGCCTGCACTCAGAGGTTCGAGACCAGTCTGAGCCAGAGTGTTACCCTGTCTCTAAAAATACCAGGCGTTGTTGGGGAGGCACCTGTAGTCCCAGCTATTTGGGAAGCTAAGGTAAGAGAATCACTTAAGCCCAAGAGTTTGAAGTTGCTGCCATCTGTGACAGCATGGCACTTTACCAGGGGCGACAAAGTGAGATTTTGTCTCAAAAAAAGAGAGAAAGGCAAAATTTGTATCTCATATATGACAGCCAATTTCCTCAGTATTTTAACAAAGCTGAGGAAAAACAAATGGCCTGCTAAGTAGTAGAAAGATCAGAAGCAGAAGGACACCTGCTGTCTCATTCTGTTGATACGAAGTTAAAGAACAAGCAGAATCTTAGACGTGATTACTTGGGGTGTCAGGAGTGTCTGTGACTTGGCTGGATTAGTCACAGGAGCATGTACAATTGCCAGAATTTGCTCACCTCAACACTTAGGATCTGTGCATTTCATTGAATGGAGTATTAAATTTTAAAAGGTGATGTACCTTTCTTTGATTTAAAGTAACGTTTAAACAAAAATATGCCAGTTTTTTTTTTTGGGGGGGGTGTTTTTTTTGGAGACAGAGCCTCAAGCTGTCCCCCTGGGTGGAGTGCTGTAGCATCACAGCTCACAACAATCTCCAACTCCTGGGCTCAAGTGATTCTACTGCCTCAGCCTCCTAAGTAGCTGGAACCACAGGCGCCTGCCGCAACACAGGGCTAATTTTTGGTTGCAGCCGTTGTTGTTTGGCAGCCCAGGCTGGATTCGAACTCTCAGCTCGGGTGTATGTGGCTGGCGCCTTAGCCGCTTGAGCCACAGGCACCGAGCCACCAGTTTTTAATCTATCGTGATGAGAAACACTTTATAAATTTAATACTATTCGGTGGTAAAACAGGACTTAGGCGTGGACTTCTCAGATGGCGGTGAGATGAATTGTTGGCTCTGTGAGTTCCATTTCTGGTCCTTTGTCCTAGTGATCCCTACACATGAACAACGTTGAGTCCAGAGTCTGCTGCAGCAGTGACAGTGTGCACTGAACTGTGGGTCACGTCTGAGAGGGCTGAAGTTGACAGAGCTGCATTAACTATCATGGAAAATTATCCTGTGTAAAGAATGTGATAATTGATAAGCTTCCATTTAGTAAAAATAAGCATAGAGAGTTCCTGAGAAATAATGAACATTGATTTTGAAGGTTATTTCTTTTCTTTTTAGGAAAATGTCTGAAGAATTTTCGGTAAGTTGATTGACTTTATCTTTGATAAGTTTTTTGGCTCTTAAGAAAAACATGTTCTTGACTGTCTTTTAACTTAGAAGAGATGCTTTTTGTGAGTCTTAAGGGAGGTGATTTTGACAGGCGGTTTGTCTTAGTTTACTGAGATAACAGCATGTTTGAAACGTACCCTGTAGTATTTGTGAATCCTTAAACAAAAAGTGTAAGGTGTTGCTTGCACTGTTCTTTGTAACCCTGAGAACGTCAGTAACAGCCACCACTGAGAGTTTCCACGTGCCCGGCACTCCAAGGGCACTGCCTGCACGTCTCAGTTCAGCCACGTTAACCCTCAAGCTGTTTTTGACAATGAGGAAACTGAAGCTAAACCATGTGGCTCCTTTGAGGTGCAGTGGGATTGGAGCCCAGGCCCTGCCTCAGTTCTGTGCTCTAATCACCGTCCTCTTGGATTAGTGCCGCACAGAGTAGAGCTTGGTGTAATGAGTTGTGTTTAAAAAAATTAGTTTTCTGAGGAGTTTGTCCTGTAAAGTTGATATTCAAGGAACACCTCAAATTTTACATCAAATGCATTGCTTTTAAAATGAACAACTTGGCTTTTGGAAGTGTTGAGGCTTCCGCCCCTGGCCCTGCAGCTGGCTGCTCTCTCGGGCAGCGTTCCCCAAACTTTTTTGTCTCACAGCCACTTGAACCTGTAGTTAAACTTCCATGGCACAGTTAAGTTATGTTGATTTTAAAAAAAGGAATACACTTACTGTGCTTTGAAGTTCTTTTGAAAAAAATTTGTGATCTTTAAAAATTTTGGAGGCACATCTGAGCCCCTCCCACGACAGACTGGTTGAAAACCACTGCTCTCTGGGGTTAGGGTTATCTGGTGTGACTGTCCCGAGGTGAGATCGTGTGTTCTGCATTGCAGTTGGCAGATGCGCTGCCTGAACACTCCCCTGCCAAGACGCCCGCTGTGAGCAACACCAAGCCTGGCCAACCTCCCCAAGGCTGGCCGGGTCCCAACCCCTGGAATAGCCCCAGTGCTCCACCTTCTGTGCCAGCCGGACCCCCACCAAGTGCAGCACCCTCCACTGTGCCTTTTGGACCAGCGCCAACAGGAATGTATCCCTCTGTGCCTCCCACCGGACCGCCTCCAGGACCCCCAGCACCCTTTCCTCCTTCTGGACCATCATGCCCCCCTCCTGGTGGTCCTTACCCAGCTCCAGCTGTGCCAGGTCCCACAGGTCCATATCCTACACCAAATATGCCCTTCCCAGAGCTACCTAGACCATATGGTGCACCCACAGATCCAGCTGCAGCTGGTCCTTTAGGTCCATGGGGATCCATGTCTTCTGGACCTTGGGCACCAGGAATGGGAGGGCAGTACCCTGCCCCTAATATGCCATATCCGTCTCCAGGGCCATATCCCACTCCTCCTCCCCAAGCCCCAGGGGCAGCACCACCTGTTCCATGGGGCACTGTTCCACCAGGAGCCTGGGGACCACCAGCACCATATCCTGCCCCTGCAGGGTCATATCCCACACCAGGACTCTATCCGGCTCCCAGCAACCCTTTCCAAGTGCCTTCAGGACCTTCTGGTGCTCCACCGATGCCTGGTGGCCCCCACGTGAGTGTTCATTTTGGTATTTAACGTGGACTGATCACGTCAGCACAACCGAAGGATGGTTTCTCCCCAGTTTTGGATGAAAGATTAGAAAGTTTTTAAAACCTTTTTAAGAGAATGTATGTATATAAAATGAGTAAATTTCGAAACCTCAGGTAAAGCATTTGAAAGGATGAGAACACAAGTTAAGTAGTCCTGTACTAGAAATAAAAAGAAGAATTCTCCACGGATCCCCACAGACTTTGTAATGTAGTGAACAGTGTCTTCAGTAGCATCCTTAAGGGTAAACTCTGAGGTGCATCTCACTGGGCTGGGTGGGTAGGTGGGTTAGTTGTTAAAATTTTGTTTATTTGTGACAGAGTCTCGCTATGTCACCCTCGGTAGAGAGCTGTGGCATCACAGCTCACAGCAACCTCCAACTCCTGGGCTTAAGCGATTCTCTTGCCTCAGCTTCCCAAGTAGGTGGGACTACAGGCGCCCGCCACAATGCCTGGCTATTTTTTGGTTACAGTTGTCGTTGTTTAGCAGGCCCGGGCCAGGCTCAAACCCACCTGCTTTGGTGTATGTGGCCAGTGCCCCCTACTCACTGAGCTACAGGCACCGAGCCAGGTTAGGTTTTTTTAATATTTCTAAGTTTTTTTGTTTGTTTGTTTTGTTTTTGAGACAGAGCCTCAAGCTATCCCCCTGGGTAGAGTTGCAGCCATCATTGTTGTTTGGCGGGTCAGGGCTGGATTCGAACCCGCCTCCTTAGGTGTATGTGGCTGGCACCTTAGCCACTTGAGCCATAGGCGCCGAGCCTCTAAGTATTGTTTTATAATCATCCAAAGCACAGTTCAATAAAAATACTCTCCGCCTAGCAGGCTTATTACAAAGGTAGATTTTCAGAGAATCCAAAGCAGAGTATATAACATTGCTTGTCCTTCAGGTAATTACTGAACTCAAGCTGTTGCCACTGTTCTCTCCTGTCACTTACATGTGATGCCGGGTGACTACTGTCAGCCAGGCTGGAGCAGGGGAGACGTCTTGTTGACGTCTTGGCCATATGAGTTGAGTAGAAAAGTACCCCACTTCTCTATCAAGCAAGTCAGCTGAGCATCCAGACACATAGTCAGGGTTTTCCTTAGGAAAGAAAAACAGGCTACCTCTTAACACACGAAGTAATCAGATCTCCGCTTAGATTAATCAGACATACACCTGGGCTATAAAGTGCCCCCCAGACTTCTGCTGCATTGGTGTAACTTCTTGTTTTATATAGTCTCAAAAAATGTTTTTTCTGCAAAGTGCATGCCAACATAACTAAATGAGGTGACTCGCTGTTTGGATTTATTAAGCAATAAATTTATTTTAAGCCATAGCAAGGAGTTAATAAACTCCCCTTACAAAATCTAGAAGTTGACTTTTTCTTTTTTTCTTGCAGTCTTACCATTAAGTTAAGCATGGACGAAGAGGTGATGCTTTGCTTTTTGAAGTACGTGTATATGCACGTGAAAGACTGCTGGTCTCCCTGTCTCCGAGGGCGCTCAGGAAGGAACAGCTCTGGCACCTCTCAGAGAAGATAACTGCCTCTTGTACTCGGATGTGTGCACCAGATGGGTACAGTCAGCTGAAAACATGAAAGTTAATCATTCAGATGTGATTTTTATTTGGTTTTCATGAGAAGTTAAAGTGATTGAGTATACTGAATAGCTGTTTGATACAATTTTAAGTTCTGAAACTACACTTAAAAATCTAAGATTACGTGTTAGGTTCTGTAGCTCCGTTGGCAAATTATTTCAAATATTTTTCTATAATCACTTTCCCCTCTAAATAAACTTTGAAAATAATCACATTATAATCTGAACAAATGATGCCTCACCATTTTGAGCTACTTTTCTAGAGATAAATAAACCTGGTTCTCTTTAGTAGGTTTTATTTTGGATATACATTTTAAAACTGTCAGTAATTGTTGTCAGATGTTAAGTTCAAAGCCAGCTAGTGTTGATCTTTTGGTTAAAAACTTCGTGGTTTTATTTTTAGCCATATGGGTCATACAGTACCAAAATCTGCCATTTATGGAAACTAACTTTTAACTTTTTAATCCAACCCAACATGTATGTTAAATTATATTCTTAGAGAATTGATGATCTCACTGTATTGCTTTAGACTGGATTGTAAGATGCACATATTGCTTTGAGAAGAGCTCAAGGAAGAAAATCATTTCTTTCCTTTGTTCTGAACCTCAAACTAGATAAACTCTAGGAATTGCTTTATCACAGCAAGGGTTTTCATTCCCACAAAACCTAAGGCAGGTCTTCTGCCCAGATGGAGCAGGGGAGACGTCTTGTTGACGTCTTGGCCATATGAGTTTTCATTCCCACAAAACCTAAGGCAGGTCTTCTGCCCAGATCGATCCCCACCTCCTGGTTCTTTAGAAAGAGCACGTCTCTGACTCCTGCCTGAGATGGAAAACTGGCACACTCTGTGGGTCTGTCATAAAAAGATAGACCAAGTTATGTTTAGAGAGCCTGCAGTCGCCAGGCACGACTGTTCTCTTCGTGCAAGTGTGAGTCACAGTGTGTATCTGTCTGTCAGAGTTCGGTTAAGCTCTGCTGTTGTCTCCTGATGGTTTCCTGGATCTGTCTGTGACATGCTTACAGCTAACAGTTCAGTTCTGTATTTGTGGACAGGTAGATGTGTGGTGTTACGTGCCATTTGTGGAAAAACTGCCCACTAGCTCTCACACCGAAAATAATACTAAACTATAGATCTCTGCAACTGAGTTTAAAGTAGTTGACTGTGTTGTTTACATAGTTCCTACCCACCAAAACAGCCCCGGTGCAGCTTTTTGGCACCTTATTTTTAAGTCAGATTCTTAGATTTGGGATGGACCTGACCTTGTTACTTATCAAGTAACATTTTGAGATTTTGAATGTATTCATTGAGTTTCTAAAATGCATTGTGAATTTCTCAGACCAGCACAAGACATATTTATGCTGGAGCTCCTTTTCTGCTTAAAAATGTTTAATGGTTTGTTTCTGCTATAATTAAAATGTTAAGAATGCCAAATGCTGCCAGTTTAATGGTTTGATAGCTACCTCTTTTCAAGGTCGTCTTTGAGAGGGACGTTCTGTGTCTCCCTTATATCAAGTACATGATAGATTCAAACTTTAAGAATTGGCAGAAGTGCAAACTAATTTGTTTAGATGTTCTCAGACTGGAGAATGCCTTAATGCTTACATAGTAGTAAAAGTAGTCTTATTTTCTTTAACTTCTTTACAAAACAGGTGATGGCTGTCTGTAGTACTCTTGGGCTCTCTTATCAAAGTGGCCTCCAGTCTGAAAGGCAGCACCCTTAGGTATTAAGGCTTAAATTATCAGTCGTCATCAAATTGCCATTAACTGATTAGAAGCAAGATGGCCACAAAGATACCTCTGTCCTGTGTTGGGATAAGTTGATAACTCTGGCTTTAGATGAAATAGTTAATGTAATACTAGAGAGGATATAGTTTAACTCAAAGAAAACGAGGTAGCAAGTTTGGGAATCTATGATTGTGGAGTCCATTGATTGTAGGAGAGACTGTCAGTAAAGGATTTCAAGGGCCGTGAACACCAGACTTAGAGGGCTCACTGCTCCAGTAAGTGTGACTGCCAGTGCCCGGCCTGCCTGAGCAACACTGACAGGCTAACTCTGGGCTTTCAGTGACTTTAGGGCTGGGATTTGGGACAATTTTTTTTTTTAATGTAAGAATGGAAATTAAAGGGATAATACAATTTGCCTTTATATTCTTGTTATTTTTGAAAAGCATCATTTCTCCAGTTGGGCAGGAGTCCTCAATTTTTGTGAGCACTTTGAACCAAAAATACTTTTAAGTTCAATGTGGAGTTAAAAAAGGCAGAAGTTTCAGTGGAAGAATGAGGGGAGCTTCCAGGAAGATCCTTTTGCCTCTTCTCAAGGAAATAATGTTGGCTTTCAAGACAAGTCATGTTAGGCTGACACTGACGTGTGGGAAAGGCTGCTAGTTAGCAGATGTTTTTGTTTTGTTATTTTTATTGAGACAGAGTCTCAGTTTGTCACCCTCAGTAGAGAGCTATGGTCTCATAGCTCAGAGCAACCTCAACCTCTTGGGCTTAAGCAATTCTCTTGCCTCAGCCTCCCTAGTAGCTGGGACTACAGGTGCCCACCACAACGCCCAGCTATGTTTGTTTGTTTGTCTGTTTAGCAAGCCTGGGCCAGGTTTAAACCTACCAGCCCTGGTAGCATGGGGCCAGTGCCCTAACCACTGAGCTGCGGGCGCCCAGCTAAGCAAATGTTTTTGGTCTGAACGGATTACAAATTATGGGATGCTGACATTTGGGCTTCAGAGCAAAACATTTTAAATAAATTCAATGGAGATAGTTGAGATGTGTTCGAGAATAACGTTTCTGGAGTGGAAATCTTAGGTTTTGAAACGTTAAACCCAGAAATGGTGATGAAAAATTAAAACCTAGACGTTAGGTCCCCATTCACACACAGCCGTCTAAGGTCATGTGAAAGTTCCAGATGCCTCGGCTGGTCCGTCCTGCCTCCTCACCGCCTCATGCTTCTGAAGACACTGTAACAGCTCTGACTCCATGGCCCTGTTTTGTATATAGTAACATATTGATTATTCAGGAGTAGACAATACATTTTTAGTTACCCAAGAACTCTTCTTCTTTGTCTATTTGCTGATTGTCTTTAGCAGAGGTGTCAGAGGGCAGAGAAGCACAGGAGTCAGTGTTTGGTCTCAGTCAGTCACCACTGCAATGCAATATGGGAATATTTTCCAGAAGAGGTCACTGCCTGTAACGTATTACCTCACAGGTAGTTAGTGCTGCCTATTGTACTAAAATTTACAGCAGTTGAAATCTTGTGTATATGAAAGTAGATACAGAGTTTTCATTAAAAGACTTCTAGTTCAGTGGTCGTTTTCCTTCACTTGTAAATAGTAAGCGCAGCCTCTCCCTCCTCACAGTGATTTAGCGCTGGCTTGGGGCACTGCCAGGGTTACTAGGTGTGAACCCAGGAAGTTAAACTTGAGCACAGCCCTTCAAGTGTTAACATCTTGGAAAATAATAAGCCTAAATTCAGATGAGTCCCAGTGATACGTTGTACTATGCATGGAAAGTGGCAGATGGTTTTCAGGGAAGATTAATCTTAGTAAAGCAATATTTGATATTGAAGACAGACACTATTCTTTTTAGTTTCAGAATTCTGCCAAGTAAAACAAAACTTGCCAATAAAATAATAAATACTTTTAAAATGCCATGCAAGCTTCTGACTACAGAATACATGGGAAGCTCCACCGAGTGGACAAGTCAGCACCTGGCCCAGGTGCTCTGCCGGGTGCCAGAGAATCCTGTCCCCACGGGGCTCCCAGAGCCGGGCCGGCAGGAGTCACTACAGAACCAGCCAATGGTCATTTCAGAGGGCAACGTGTGGTTTACCTTTTTTATTAACTAAGAGATTAATGTTTCCCAGATGGTCACGTTGATCAGTGCAACTCTTCTCATGCACAAAGTACCAGGCTGTCTCCTCGGCACTTGGTCTGCCTATCCCTGGTTAACAGATTCTGATTTGTTGCCATTAAGTAAACTTGAGTCATTATGTGTGCTCTGTAAAGACTTTTTGTAATTTTTTTCTTGAAATTGTGATTATTTTCATTGACAGTAATGACAAATTTAATGTATGTAATTGTCTATGCATTTTAAGTTAAACTGCCTAAAATGTGATTTGAGACATGCACTCGTCTGTGTTAGGAGCTGCCAGCATCTGTGTGAGGGTCAGTTACCCAACCTGCGCTGTGTTTGTAAACAAAGACAAGTGTTGCTTTAAGAAGTAATTACAATTAGGGATTGGCTATGGATGTGACACTTGATATTTTTTTAGATAAACTTGTTTGCTTTTGTGTATTATACCAGAAAACTTTTTTCTTTTTAATGTATTTTGACGGTTTCACAGATTTTCCGTGTATTTTTTTCCTTAGGCACAGTCCTGGGCCCCTGAGCAAGTCCAGAGTCTAATTAATTACAAATTTGTCACTATAAAGAAAGGGGGAAAAAGGGCCTGATACATTTCTTTGCACATGACCTGCATTCATAGAGGCATCTGAACGGGGAACAGCCCCCCCATCCACGCTCCTTTATCAGCAGGGTGTCCTGGTGGCAATTTCCCCCTCAAGCTTCTAGGCTCTACTGCTCTTGGTAACCAGGTCACCTGTGGGTACAGAGCCCAGGGACATTGACTGCCTGGCCCCACTGCCCTGCCCCACTTTCTGACTTTGCCCACGCATCCCACAGTCCCTTGTTGACCAGTCTAGACCCATTTTCTCTTCCACAGACACCCTAACTTGTCCTTTTAGGAACCCACTGAGTAGATGCCAAAGCAGTGGCTGAAGTGTTTTTCTAAAATGACCGTCCACTGGTTGGCTTTTCAGGTGAAAGCCAAGTGAGCTGAGCTGCTTCAGGTCATCCGAGCTTCTATGCGTACAGCCCATGTGCTGCTTGAGCAGCTCAGCGCCCTTCCAGCCTCCCAGACCAGAGGGAGAGCTGTGTCTGGTTGCCTGCTACTTGTAAAACTGCTGAACCACAACCCCATTTTATAGATGATGAAACTAAGGCACAGAGGTAA